TTCTGAGCAGCGTTGACCTCCATACGTCATCCGCCCGGAGCTGCTTCCGTTTACAACAGTGAGCACAAGCTAGATTAAAGTGATTATTACGTTTTAAATATGGTTATTTTTCTTACAAAAACGCATCGATTCGCTACAGGAGGCCTTTGTTCACCCCCCGGAGTCGTGTGAGACATTTTTTTTTTGGATGGGCGCTTTTTATTTAACTTCTTTTGGACTGAAGCACTTCAACACCCGCTGACTGCAATGGTAGAGCTTGGAATAGCCAGGACAATTTTACTGGATTCGTCTGAAAGAAGAAAGTCATATACACCTAGGATGTCTCGGGGGTGAGTGAAACATTTTTGGGTGAACTAACCCTTTAAGACTGGTTTTGTGGTCCGGGGAGAGAGAAAGATCAATCACTAAACACAACAATTACATATATAACTAAAACAAACAAACACCGAGATACCTCTACGACACGAGCGAATGCCTTAAGCACACCGAGAATGACTCCCACCTACCTGTAGAGGGGCGACCTTAACCAAATGCCAGCCACAGGATTTCATCCAACGCTAATGTTGGCCTCTCTGAAAATAAGCTAACATTAGCTACAGTCTGCCAGCAACAACCTAGCCAACATTTGGTTGGTGACCAAATATGATGCAGGAAGCCGCTGACTGCAATGGTAGAGCTTGGAATAGCCAGGACAATTTTACTGGATTCGTCTGAAAGAAGAAAGTCATATACACCTAGGATGTCTCGGGGGTGAGTGAAACATTTTTGGGTGAACTAACCCTTTAAGACTGGTTTTGTGGTCCGGGGAGAGAGAAAGATCAATCACTAAACACAACAATTACATATATAACTAAAACAAACAAACACCGAGATACCTCTACGACACGAGCGAATGCCTTAAGCACACCGAGAATGACTCCCACCTACCTGTAGAGGGGCGACCTTAACCAAATGCCAGCCACAGGATTTCATCCAATGCTAATGTTGGCCTCTCTGAAAATAAGCTAACATTAGCTACAGTCTGCCAGCAACAACCTAGCCAACATTTGGTTGGCGACCAAATATGACGCTGGAAGAAAAAAAAAAGGGGGCGGTGACTGGAGACACGATTCCATCTAGTCAATTATATACACTTTCCGCTGCCCATTGATAGGGCAACTGTTGAACAGACTCACCAACCACATGCAGGCAGGAAGAACTTCATTAGACCTGCCAGAGTTTAATTTTCTGATAAAAGATAATACTTTTTTTACATGATTTGGTTACTGAGAGGTATTTAAATGTAACAATTACATTTACTCAAATACTTTACAACACTGTTATGAATAAGCTTGACCAAAGTGACCAAATCCTGAAAATTGATACTTAGAAGTCATTATATACAAGCAGCCCTGAAAAAAAATCAGTTCATAATTGTGTGTGGGCCTGACTACTCAATTGATCTAACATCACTAGAAGAGAAATCTAGCCATGAGTAGATGCCAAAAGCAGGTCATGTGTTCAATTTATTCATCTTGTTTCACCTTAGGTCTGATGACACTGAAAGAGGAGAGTGAAGTTCTGAACGAAACGGATGAGAAATATAAGCTTGAGAAACATCAGGAGTTCATACCTGAAGAAAAACCGTTTAGTTGCTCACAGGCTGAAAAGACTTGTTCACGAAAAAGAGCTCAAAAGACAAGAAGCTGCGAAAAGAAGCATTTTACCTGTCAACAGTGTGAGAAAAGTTTTAACCTAAAAGGAGGCCTTGTCAGACACATGAGAACTCACACTGGAGAGAAGCCTTACACATGCAAACAGTGTGGAAACCGTTTCAGTCTATATGGAAACCTTAAAATCCACATGAGAGTTCACACTGGAGAAAACCCTTTCACCTGTCAACAGTGTGGAAAGAGTTTCACTCAAAAAGTAAGCCTTAACAGGCACACGAGAACTCACACTGGAGAGAAGCCTTACACATGCCAACAGTGTGGAAACCGTTTCAGTCTGTATGGAAGCCTTAAAATCCACATGAGAGTGCACACTGGAGAAAACCCTTTCACCTGCCAACAGTGTGTAAAGAGTTTCACTCAAAAAGTAAACCTTATCAGACACATGACAACTCATACCGGAGAGAAGCCTTACACCTGCCAACAGTGTGGAAGGAGTTTTGAACAACATGGAAACCTTACAGTCCACATGAGAATTCATACAGGAGAGAACACTTTTACCTGTCACCAGTGTGGAAAAAGTTTCAACCAAAAAGGAAACCTTAAACACCACATGAGAGTTCACACTGGAGAAAACCCTTTCACCTGCCAACAGTGTGGAAAGAGTTTCACTCAAAAAGTAAGCCTTAACAGGCACATGAGAACTCACACCGGAGAGAAGCCTTACACATGCCAACAGTGTGGAAAAAGTTTCAGTCTATATGGAAACCTTAAAATCCACATGAGAACTCATACCGGAGAGAAGCCTTACACATGCCAACAGTGTGGAAATGGTTTTAATAAAAAAGGAAGCCTTAACAGGCACACAATAATTCACTCCAGAAAGAAACTTTACACATGCACTCAGTGTGGAAGGAGTTTTGAACAACATGGAAACCTTACAGTCCACATGAGAATTCATACAGGAGAGAACACTTTTACCTGTCACCAGTGTGGAAAAAGTTTCAACCAAAAAGGAAACCTTAAACACCACATGAGAGTTCACACTGGAGAAAACCCTTTCACCTGCCAACAGTGTGGAAAAAGTTTCAGTCTATATGGAAACCTTAACATCCACATGAGAGTTCATACTGGAGAGAAGCCGTTCACCTGCCAACAGTGTGGAAAAAGTTTCAGTCTATATGGAAACCTTAACATCCACATGAGAGTTCATACTGGAGAGAAGCCGTTCACCTGCCAACAGTGTGGAAATAGTTTTAATCAAAAAGGAAGCTTTATCAGACACATGAGAACTCACACTGGAGAGAAGCCTTAACAGGCACACAAGAATTCACTCCAGAAAGAAACTTTACACATGCCCTCAGTGTGGAAAGTGTTTTGAACAACATGGAAACCTTAAACACCACATGAGAGTTCACACTGGAGAAAACCCTTTCACCTGCCAACGGTGTGGAAAGAGTTTCACTCAAAAAGTAATCCTTATCAGACACATGAGAACTCACACTCAGGTTCAGTCTATATGGAAACCTTAAAATCCACATGAGAACTCATACCGGAGAGAAGCCTTACACCTGCCAACAGTGTGGAAATGGTTTTAATCAAAAAGTAAGCCTTATCGGACACATGAGAACTCACACTGGAGAGAAGCCTTACACATGCCAACAGTGTGGAAACAGTTTCAGTCTATATGGAAACCTTAAAATCCACATGAGAACTCATACCGGAGAGAAGCCTTACACCTGCCAACAGTGTGGAAATGGTTTTAATCAAAAAGTAAGCCTTATCGGACACATGAGAACTCACACCGGAGAGAAGCCTTACACATGCCAACAG